CCTCTATGTTGCTCAGCTATGTTTTAACATTGTCCTTAGGCAAGTTTTGCATATTTCTCGTTATAGATATTCTTGGATATTGTGGCTATTCTAATTTGTGCATTTAGCTATTTCGAATGGGATTTTCTATTATATTTTTGTATGTCTTTGCAGACATGTAGTAAACCACTGCTTTGTTATGCTGAGGCTTCATTTGAATACCTCACTGAATTATGATTAATTCTCCTAGCTCCTTATTTGAATTTTTGGCTTTCTTGTTAGATAAGAGTATCACCTGGAAAAGAGTTTTGTGCCTTCCTTTCCAATAGTGACTCTTCTTATTTTTTGTCTTTATCATATTGCATTATGAGGGCCACCAGAACAACACTGAAGTATAGCGAGGGTTTCTGTCATGCTCCTGACTTTGGTGTGATGATTGATTGTGATGACAGAGAGATTCACAAGATGGTACGACAGCTGCATCGGTTAGGGTGCCATTAGCAACAAGTAACAGAGAACTCTAACAAACACTGGTTTAAATAAGGTGATTTATTATCCAAGACAACAAGTCCCGCGTCAGGGAGGATTCCAGCTTTGGGAACCCAGGTTCATTCATCCCTGGCCCTTCTCAGTTGGCCAGAAGTCTCTGCAGACCATTTGCTGCCGGCATTGCCAGAATTCCTGGTGTCTCTTTCAGATACAGATCTTTCTTGACATTGTTGTTCCTTTCCAGGATGGTCTTCTTAGAAGCAAGAAGCCTTTCTCAGACGTTTCTCCCTGTTCCCACCAGTGACTCTTCCCTTTGCATTTTCAGGGTTGGCTCACATGCCCATTTTTAAACCAGACGCCACCAAGAGACTGGAATTGCCATGACTGACTTAATCATTCGGGAGAGAAATGGGTGATAAGGAGTCAACGATGGGAAGTAACAGATAAGAAGCCTTTATATCAGACTAGTAATGGGGACGAGAGAGTCTTCCCAGAGGAGGTGCCATCTTGGTGCAGAAGGGCATTCCAGGAAGGCAGCAGTGTGCAAAGGCACAGAGGCGTGATGGAGCATGGCACACTCGGGCACCTCTAAATACATGGATGGGTGGATATTTGTGTGGTACAGAAGTGTGTTTTGTGCTAAAGAGCTTAATCTTTAGCCAGAAAGTCACGAGCAACCTTTTAAGAAGGGGATGTGTATGACTAACGAGGCATTTTGGAGTGATTGTTCTGGCAACAACGGAGGAGTCAGACTGAGGTCAGGGAAACCAGTGGTGAGAGAGAAGGAATGGAGAGGCAGGGGCAGCTCTGAGAGTGAGTATGGTGGCAGAGTTTGCAGAAGGTGGTGACAGAGTAGATGTGAGCAGTGGGTGAGAAAAACCTTGGCGACTCCTCAGACTGCTGGTGTGGGAGGCTGGGTTATGGTAGGTGGTAGAGGGAAGGCTGGGGTGGGAGATAATGTGTTTGATTTTTGTCATATTGAAGTTGAGGTGCCTACATGTGTTTGCATGGTGAGTCTGGAGCTGCTTGGAAGGCTTCGAGTTGAGATGTGTCAGAGATCTAGTAACATGCGTTTCCTTAAACTAAGTCGTATTCTAAGTTCTCTGGTTAAATAAATTTGGGAAATATTGAAGTAAATAAAGCAACGCTGGTTTCTTCTCTTCAGGGCCTCTTAGACATTTTAATATGCTCCTAGTAATGTCACTGCATGCTTACCACGTGCCAGGTCCTCCCCATGCCTTCATTTGTGTATTCCTTTCCATGTGCTGGAGTTTTCCCCATTCTACAGATGAGGAAGCTGGAACAGCATGGTTAAGTAACTTGTGCAAGGTCACATGATAATACAAGGTTGGGATTCAAATACAGGAAGTTCAGAGCATGTACTCTTTTTTTTAAATTCTAATTTCAGCTTTGAGGTATAACTGACAAATATATTTAAATATATTTAAAGTGTACATCCTAGTGATTTTATACATATTTACATTGTGAAAGGATTCTCAGATGCCGAGTGGTCAGGAGGACAGAAAAGTACACACACTGTCTTTAGCAATACGGTGGTCATTGGAGATCTTGGTGAGAGCCATTTCAGTGGGCTGGAAGGGGCATCTGGCCACTGTAGTGTAAAGACAAAGACTGAATCATCCTCTTGAATTCTAGATACTGAAGTCACCCAAGATGATGGTAAGACTAAGGGTGTCAAATGTTCAGCTACTCTTAGAGACATGACCAGGTGGTTGGTAGAAGATGACCACAAGGAGAAAAGAGATTGGGGTGCATGGATGGGAGGAACATTAGGATTTACTGTGTGTGTGTTTCCATTGGTTTATACTTGCCTGAGTCACTGGGATGACTCTTCATGGGTTTTAAATAGAATGAATGGGCAGCCTCCCAAAAATACTCAGAGGCATCAGGTACATTTCCAGGGTGAGATGTTTTGCAGTGGCCATGCCTGAAAGTGAAAACCCTACTCTGGAAAAGTAAATGTCATTCTTAGAATCCTTTCTCTAAAGCCATGGGACGTGAGCTTCCCTTGAAGGATTATACTTTAAGAAAAGGAAGATAAGAGTCTGTCCTGTGAGAGGTTAATGGCATGGTATCTTACTACATTTTGGGAATTTACACGCCGCTTAATGTGGATAGAAAATATTTTAGGGACTGATAGCACATGCAGAATATAGTCAGTTTTAAAGTTTATTTTATTTCTAACCCAAACTGTTAACTCCCACAACAGCAAGTGATTTTGTTGCTGCTGCTGTTGTTTTTGCTATCTGTCCTGGCTAAGACACGATTGTGGCAGAGCTGACATATAATTAGGTGACCACAAAATTTGTTAGGCAAACTTTTTGAGAGCAAAAGGGGCACATTAGTAATGCTGCTAGGAAAAAAGGCATACAGTGGGGACTGTCCCAGGCAAACGGGGACAGATCACCACCCTACATGTAATAACACTGTGATTTCAGCAAGGGAAATTGGGCTGGTAACAGAGGAGACTTCTTGCTTAGTTAAGAAGTGAGGGTCTCTCTGGGCTTCTCAGGCAACATGGTGGAATGAAGCAAGCTTTGGAGTCAGACAGGTTGGATACAAACCCCTGCTCTGTTGCTTCCTGGCCTCATGACCTTGTGCAAATTACTCAGTCTCTCTGAGCCTGTTTCCTCATCTCCTCTTACCACATGATCACATGTCTAAAATGTCCAGCCCTATAAAAATTCACTGGAAATCTTAGTGCCCTTGTCTTTCCCCTCTCCCCCACATTGTTTTTCAATACATAAAGGAGAAACAGCTCTGCCTGTTGTATGCAGGCGATTGGTACTTTCAGTGAAAGTCTAGTGATAGAGATAGACTAAGATATAGCCACAGAACACTGGAACTGGAGGGGTCCAGGCCATCTGTAAAATCTAACACCCACAGAACTGAAGTGATATGTCTGAGGGCACACGGAGACCTCTGGTTCAGCTGGGGACTGAATCCAGGGTCCAGGAACTGCAGGCCACTGCTCTTTCCCCTCCACAATTCCTAGAAGTTCCTTTACCCTTTCCCACGCTTCACTCTTCTCTCCCTTACTCTCCGTTCAAGAGGACAGATACTCCTCAGAGCCAGTATGGCTAAGCTGGCCAGTATAAGTAGATCAATCAGAGCTTAGCCCCCTCAAGGAGGATAGTTCTGGTTAACAGGGTGACCAATAGGTGACCTCTGTAGAGACCTGACAATGTGGTGTGTGCTTGGGCAGTGGCTGTCAACCCTTTCAGATCCAGTGTCTGACTTTAATAACTCAAAAGAAAAGCAACTTATGAACACATAACTTTAAAAGTCAAAATAATGCTAATTGTAATGTCTGGAGAAATTGGAAGAAAGTGATTTATGATAAAATAGTCTTTCCAGAAGTTTTTCTCAGGCATGACTGACCAAGAGACAGAATGAAGGAGTGCAATGCTTATACTTGTGTGAATGCAATGGGGGGAAAAGGGGGCACAGCCAACAGATGCAGGAGGGTCTGCAACTGACACACCTTAGGCATTCTGGATGGCAGTGATGTGATATTCTAAACAGGTAAACAACTTTTGGCAAAAATCTTCCTTCATTTTACCCAGTGGCTGCATTCCTGAAAAATTCAAAATAAGTTAAAATGATACCCAGGATACTTGAGGTTTAAATGTAAAACAGACATAGGACCCAGATTCAGAACATTTAAAATAGGTTTTTAATCTACATGGATAATATTTCATAGGACATCTGCAAGTTAAGTGGGATGCAAAATAAGTCTTCGTTTTGTGGGGCCATCCTATGCATTTTAGGATGTCTGGCATCCCTGACTCCTACCCCCTAAATGACAGTAGCCCCTCCAATCATTGTGACTTCCAGAAAGCCTCTGTGATTTCCTAAAACACCGTCCTTCCTGCTGGGCGGTGGTATCCCTCTGTACCCCTGCTCTACAGATTGGATGGACATTCCATAGTTGGGTATCAGCGCAGGGTGACTTGGGGTACCTCAGGGGAAACCAGAATGGTGGCTCCCAATGGTGCCTTTTACCAAAGCCTCCAGCATGGAGACATGGAGAAAGGCATGATGCTATGGCCGGGGGGTGGGAAGGTGTAAAGCTGAAGGAGTGCCTCCTGCAGTTGGCCAGTTTGGTTCCAGCCAAATGACAGCGATGACAATGGCAGATTACAAATAGGAAAGTCATTGCCAAGTGGGTAAAAAGTTGCCCCAAGTAACCCAAACTCCAAAGCCTTTGCTAAGGAGGTTAGTGCAGGTAAATGAGAATGGCAAGTGCTCTGTTATCTTCTGATATGGCCGTATTGTCCCTAAAGTGCTTTCTCACGTTTTTCCTTTCTATACGCTTTTGAGCCTCTCCACAAACTCGGGGGATAGTTAGGGGTGGCTGTTATCTTCACTTTGACACGTTTGTTCTGCTGACACCCAATACTGCATTGCTTCATTCATAAAGTTTGTGGCACACAGGCAAACTAGACAAGGGCCATTCGCTGGTCTCCCTGTTTTGTATACACACAAGCTGCGGGTAATCTCAGCTATAGGATTTGGATTTTTGTCACAAATGTGCTCAGAGTGAACAGAGGAGCAGATTTCTGAATGTAAATGTGAGCAATGCTTATTCCATTTTTACCTGCCGCTAATTTTGCTGAATTACTAAAATAGGTATATTGTGCCTTCAGCAATGAAATGAAGAACGACATTTTCAGGAATGGGGACCACGTGAATGTGCAACCTGCCTGCCTGTGTGTAACAGGCACCCTGCCTGTCCGCCATCAGTGGGCAGTCTCTTCCATCAGTACCTTTTGATTGTCACTGTTTTACTTTATAAAGTATTTATTCAAATTGAATAATGACAATAATGGTATAAAAACAAAGTTATATCACTGTACTAAAATTTAATTATAATAGTTAACATTTACTGAGTGTTTCCTATGTGTCAGAAACTTTACAGCTATTATCTAATTTTAATTGGGCTGTATAATTAGATAAACTTGAAAGCTTTTTCCTAAATCACTGTCATTTGACTTCTTAAAAAAAGCTTTCACTCTTTGAGCTTTGTGAATATATTCAGGAGGCTTCTCATACGTGATTGAAGTAATATAAATTTAATGAAGCAGTGTAGATAATCTTACTAATTTCGTATTTCTGGTCTCCTTGGATGCTTCTGTTAGAGTTCACCGGAAAAGGAGTGTAGGAAAATTTGAGAATCTATCACATAAAGAAAATTAAGAAAATATGGATAAACGATAATTCTCATTGTACTCTGTAATAGTGGACTTGTTAGAAAACTAATCTACTTGTTGAAAAATGATATTGCTTGGTAGTAGATCGAATGTTCTTTGGTAAGCTAGTAACATCTCATTTCTATAGTTTGTTTTTTTTTCTGTAGACAGCACTTAGGCCCCCATCATTTCATTTAACACTCATTGAAGCCTTATGAGGTAGGTGTTACTCTTGTGTTGTTGTTAAGCAAACTAAGCTCTAAGAATATTAAGTAACTTTAAAAGTTACTTAGTTACTAAAGTCTCAATACAAGTGGCAGAGCTTGGATTTAAACCCTGGGTAGTCTAACCTTTGTCTGGTGCCCTCTTCCAGCTGCCTTAGAATTTGAGCACAGAGATGAGGGGATAGTAGTATGAAACTCCAGAACTTCTAACACTAGTGGTTAGAAAATCTCTGAGAGGAAAAGAGAGCATTTATTTCCCTGCCAACCTCCTCCTTTTCAGAAAAGTGACTACTTCTATTGCTGAGATCAAGGTACTGGAACTTGAAACATCAGGCATCTAGTGATTTTATTATAGCAGCATCTATAGATTAGCAGGCACATTTTGTATGGACTGCATAGACATTTTATAAAATATGAATTTTAAAGCTTTCAGATGGAGCTCAATATGGTCAATTTTTCCCCAGTCACCACCATTCCCTATTGTCCCACTCATTCACATTAGGCACCTGCCCGGACTGTGGAGGCACTGGCCTTTGTGACCCTGGATTAGTCACTGTGATCGTCTTCCCAAGAAGCTACTGGCTTTACCTTTTGCTAGTGCTCTGTTTTTTCTCCTTATAACCTGGACTTTCCAGAAGAAAAATGAGGGAAGGGGAATAGGGAGTACTGGGGATAGGGGCCAAAATTTTACATAATGTGGCTAGGAAGTCCTCACTGGGAAGGTGACATTTGTTTAAAGACCTGCAAAGAGGAAGAGAGCATGAAGCTATCTGCAGGGAGTGCTCCAAGCAGAGGGAACAGCAAGTGCAAAGTGCAAAGGCCTTTTCCTCTCAGGGATTTTCTAACCACTAGTGTGAGATGTGCTGGAGTTTCAGATTACTTCCCGCCATCTCTGTGCTCAAATTGTAAGGTCTTTGCACTCGCTGCTCCCTCTGCTCCGAGCATGACTGGCATGTTGGAGGAACAGCAGGGCATCGGCGTGGCTGGAGTGGAGTGAAAAAGTGGGAGTCACAGGAGAACAAGGTCAGAGAGGTTAGGAGGGGAGGGGAGAGGAGGGCACACTGAGCAGCTGCCCAGGCATCCCTGCAAGGACTGTACTTACACTCTGAGTAAGATGAAAAGCATTAGAGAGTGTTGAGCAGATAAGTGGCATGATCTGCCTTATGTTTTCAAAGGATCACTCCAGTTGCTGTGTTGACAGTGGACCTTACACAGGCAAGGGCTGACGCAGGGAAACCTGATGAGATGCCGCTGCAATAATCTAAATGAGAAAGGATGGTGGCTCGGACCAGGGTGCTAACAGAAGAGGTGGTAAGAAGTAGTCTGATTCTGGATATGTTTTGAAGGTAGAGATACAGAAGTGCTGACAGGTCCGAGGCGGGTGTGAATCGAGGAAAGTCAAGGTTTTTGGTCTGGGCGACTGGAAGAATGGAGTTGCCATCATAAAACACTGCCATCTGGAAACTTGAAATTTCCCATACCCTCTTGTTATGAGAGAGGCTTTTGAAAGGCAGAGACAGAGGGAAAAAGAGGGTGTATATTAGGAAAAGGAGACTTAAGGAGGAAAGGCCATGCATATGAGAAAATGCTGTTAGAACAGAGCATGGAAGATCTGTGTGACCACAGGAGCAAAGAAAATAGCCAGTGGGAATGGGTGTGGTCTTCCTAGAGCAGTAACACGGGTCAGATGCAATATGCTACTTTCACTGCTTTCTGAAGGGCAATACCATGACCCTCCTTCTGGGGACATGGAATACCACATACGTAAAGACGTGGCACTCAAAAAAGTCCTAAAGGGTAGTAGAAAATTTATGGCCTGCATGTATTTTTTATTTTTATTGAGGCAAAGTTCACATAACGATCTAACCATTTTAAAGTAAACAATTTGGGGGCATTTAGTACATTCACAATGTTTTGCAACTAACACCTTTATCTAGTTTCAGAACATTTTTATCACCCCAAAGGAAGCCACATACCAGTTAGGCAGCTACTCCCCATTCCTCTCCTCTCAGCACCCTGACGACTGATCTGTGTATGTTGAACCATTCTTGCATCACAGGTATAAATCACACTTGATCAAGGTAAATGATCATTTTAATGTGCTGCTGAATTTGGTTTGCTAGTGTATATTGATAACATTTGCAGTTATGTTCATTAGGGATATTGGTCTGTGGTTTTCTTTTCTGCTTGTGTTTTTTCCTGGCTCTGGTATCAGGGTAATGCTGGCCTCATAAAGTGAGTTTGGAAGTGTTCCCTCCTCTTTGATCTTTTGGAAGTGCTTGAGAAGGCTTCGTGTTAATTCTTTAAATGTTTGGTAAAATTCACCAGTGAAGCAATGTGGTATTAGGACTTTTCTTTATTGGAGATTTTTGATTATGGACTCAATCTCTTTACTAGTAATTCATCTATTTAGACTTTCTATTTCTTCCTCATTTAGTCTCGGGAGTTTGAATGATTATAAGATTTTTTTTTTTTTCATGTTTTTTAGGTTGTTCAGTTAGGTGGCATATAGTTATTCACAGTAGCCACTTGTGATTCTTTGTATTTCTGTGGCATCAGTTGTAATGTTTCCTTTTTCATTTATAATTTTGTTCACTTGGGTTCTCTTTTTACCTTGGTTTGAAAAAAGGTTTGTTAATTTTATCTTTTCAAAGAACCAATTCTCAGTTTGGTTAATCTTCATTTTTCTATCCACTATTTAATTTTTTTCTGTTCTAGTCTTTATTATTTCCTTCCTTCTACTCACTTTGGGCTCAGTTTGTTCATATTCTTCTAGTTCCTTAAGGCAGAGAGAGAGTTAGGTTGTATACTTGGGATATTTTTGCTTCACACCTTCCTGACCAGTCACGAGTATACACGTTTCCATGTCTGAACATTGCTGACCGATCACGAGATAACTCCTGTCTACCCTTACATTAATTTAAGTAATTTTAAACACCTTGTTGACCAGTCACGACTGAAAAGTAGTCAGCTGCAAGGGTGAGTTCTGGCTCAAAACAGTGGATCAGCAAGGTGTTTAACATAGGTGTTTATTATTACCTACTTCCCTCTTAGAGCTGCTTTTGCTGCATCCCATAAGTTTTGTATGGTGTGTTTCAAATTTCATTTTTCTCAAGACACTTTTTAATTTACCCTTTAATTTCTTCTTTGATTCATTGGCTGTTTAGGAGAGTGTTGTATTTGTGAATCCATGTATTTGTGAATTTTCCAGTTTTCCTCTTGTTGTTGGTGTCAATCTTCTTGAATTTGTTAGAATTGTTTCGTGGCCTAAGAATTTATTAGACTTGCTTTGTGGCCTAGAGTATACTCCATGTGTACTTTGCTGTTGTCACATAAAATGTTCTGTAAATGTCTGTTAGAGCCATTTGGTCCACAGTATTGTTCAAAATCTGCTGCTTCCTCATCGATTTTCTGTCTGGATGACCTGTCTATTGTTGAGAGCGGGGTGTTGAAGTCTCCGACTATGATTGTATTGCTGTTTATTTCTCCTTGTAGCTCTGTTAGGTTTTGCTTTATGTATATAGGTGCTCTGATGCCTTTTCTTTTTCAGGGAAAAAAATGCCCTTTTTTTATTTTACACATTCATACATGCAGTGATTCTTTTGATTGCTATTAATAAGCTGGAGGATTCATTCATCTGAACTCTTCTCACTGTGTGTGTGTGCCTGGCTAGAGGAAAACTTCAGCATCATCTCACAAATCTGTACTATGCTAATGAGCCCTAAAAGTTTTGACACGGGATCATAAATATTTATCATTGCTATCTTATTGATGTACGGATCCCTTTATCGTTATACAATGACCTTTTTAATCTCTTTTTTACCATTTTCAGTTTAATGTTTATTTTGTCTGATACAAGCATAGCTACTCCTGCTAAAACACCTTTTTCCATCCATTCCCAGTGGTTGAGTCCTGCGATTCTCCTGCAGTCCCTGTGGGGTGAAACCAGAGTATGGGCTCCCATGAAGTGACCCACACACAGTACTCAGGGGCCTGGATGTCACCACAGGCTCAGGGGAAACCTCTCTGTGTGATGCCGTGCTAGCCTGGGAGCAATGCAGTCAGAATGCAGCCATTCATCTTACCTTCTAATGCAGTCAGTCTTGGTCTCTGTGGTGCAGGGCATGCTTCAACCTCCCTCCCAAGTTCCAGGATTCTCAGTGGTGTCTTGTCCGTGAATTGTTATTAGTTGTTTTTCTGAGGGGAAGTGAAGTCAGGGATGACCTATGTTGCCATCTGGGTGATGTCACTTCCTGCACATATTGAAGAGAGAGCAATCCTGAAATGCATTCATTAAAAGCTGGTTTACAATTACCTAATGCACACCGTACCAGTTTGGTATTATATTGTAGAACCACCCTGGAGAACATGTCTTTGATCCTGCTTTTATTTCCAACTAAGTACCCAAGGCTCAAAATTAGGAGAGTTGGCCTTAGGCTGACAGTAGGCAATTGGGTTTCCCATCTGTAAAATGAGAAGTAAACTTTAGGAAGTAATATTCATACCTTTTGACAAAGCAGTTTTCCTTTTGGACATCTACCTATGGCAAATGAACTGAAAAATGGGGAAAATTTATATGTAAAGATATTTCTTGAAGCATTTTTTTTTTTACAATTCTGAAACAATATAAATGTTTGCCAATAGGCAACTAATATTGTATTAACAGAATCTGACAACCATTATAAATACCAAATGGGAGTTTATTTCAACATAGAAAATGTCTAAGTTAAAATTTTAAAAGGAGCAAGGTGCATGTTTGTGCACGTTTGTAATTACATAAACTAGAGACCACAACATTTTGCCTAGAATTAAGACTAGAAACCAATATATAATATAATAAAGTGATTATGACTGGATAGCAGATTCTATAATTTTACTATAATACTTTGTTTGACAGTGTTAACTTCTAAAAGACACCACTCAAAATTATAATAGTGATTGTCATTTTATTCTTGTAAATGACCAAAGTTGAAGGTCACAATTGCATACATAAATGAAAATATTGCCAACCACATGAGGTGTGCTTTTTTTCCCCCCTGTGTGTTTCCATCTACAGATCTTTGTTGAAAAAGAAAACCTGAAATTAAAAAAAATAAAAATGTCTCTTTACAGGTATTCCTTTGCCCAGAGAAGACGACATTTCTGCCCCCTTGATCTCCAGCTCACCGGTGAAGGAAGCCCGGGAGTATGAAGACCCCCCAAGTGAAGGGGAAGATAAAATAAAAGAAGAGCCTCTGACCATCTCTGAACTGGCCTACAGCCCAAGTGCCAGCCTGCTCCCCACCCCGGTTGACGACGACGAGATTGACATGCTCTTTGACTGTCCGTCTAGGCATGAGCTGGAAAGAGAAGACACAGATTCGTTTGAGGAACTGGAAGCCGATGAAAACGCCTTTCTGATAGCCGAAGAGGAGGAGCTGAAGGAGGCTCACCGCGCTTTGTCGTGGAGCTATGACATTCTGAGCAGCCACCTCCGGGTGAACCCTCTGGTCAAGAGCTTTTCCCGGCTCCTGGTGGTGGGCCTGGGGCTGCTGCTCTTTGTATTCCCCCTGCTCCTCCTCCTGTTGGAGTCAGGTATTGATCTCTCCTTCTTATGTGAAATACGCCAGACACCAGAGTTTGAGCAGTTTCACTATGAATATTACTGTCCTCTCAAGGAGTGGGTGGCCGGCAAAGTAAACCTCATTCTCTACATGCTGGGCTGCTCGTAAAGGACAGCTTCCTCCGACTAAGGGCTATATTCAATACTAGCAATGTGCTTCTCAGCAGGTGCCTGGTTCTGAACGGGCACGGAGCCTTCGACGGGTGCTCCTTACCCAGAGCTGATTATTCAAAGCTTTAAGTTAGCTTTCCATAACTCACTGCACTTAAATAAGTTTAAATCAGATACAGTCATTTTAGTTAAAGGTCAGGAAGACGGCCTTTAAGTAACCAAAAATGTTTATTTTTTATTAAGTCATAGGCATACTCGTTATCTATTACATCAAAATACATACTGCATCTGAGCTGAATTAGATTTCCCCCTTTTAATAGTTAGCATCATTATAAGAGATAAGGTTCAGGTTCAGAATCAGAATTGTAGTCAGAATCGAAGAGCAAGTTTTTGAATATGATCCTTAGTGAAAATAATGTCCTCTAACCAATGCCTATACAACTAAATTTATGCTGGGTTTTTGTTTTTTTAAAAATATTTTTATGTGTTCAGAATATTTTGGTAAATTTTTAGCAAAAAAAAAAAAAAGAAGCCTCCTGGAGTTATTTAATTGTACAGATTGTAAGACTACTGCACAAAGGGCGTGTTGGGAATTTTTTAATGTTTTGGGACTGGTTTGTTTTTAAAAATATTTTTGGCTGAAAAACCCCATAATTTGTTGTTAGCTGCATATGAGAGAGAAAATAGGTAGAGTTGTGGTAAGTAGGCTCCTAAAACAAATGATGGGACTGGAAGATGTAGAAACTGAGCATCAAGTGGACACAGGGTGATCCATTTTTTCAAAGTAAAAAATGGACAAGATGATTTGTTACTTTCATTTGCATTCTGTGCATATATTTTGGCTAGAGAAGCAGAACACTTTTCAAAAAACCTGAAACTTTAAAGGAAAAAAGTGAAAAGATGTGCTGATTAATTGCATGTTATTTTACATTTACCCAAGAGTGGAAGCAGATGGGAACTGGACAAATGGCAAGTGGCAAAAATGTTTTGGTGAGGCTGGTAGGCAAGTGGTGGCAGGAAAATGGTCTGTTTTATGGAAGCGATGGTTATGCGAGGTACTGGATGATGTAAAGAACAGCATACATGCTGTCCAGGTTGACATGAATATGTCTGAATGGATCTAAATAAAAGTGGAGAAACTTTCAGGCACCTTTTTGGTCCCTCATGCCATTCAGTTTCTGTGGAAGAAACTTGAAAAGAAGTGTGTGTATGAGAGAAAGGGGGGGAGAGAATGGATTTTGGCCTTCTGATAAGTGACGATAATTTTTTGTGGTAGTAATTCTATTCCTTTCCTGGTTTCCTTAAGATCTTAACTCATTCATAATTGGGGCTCTCATTAGGAAAGTGGAGGGGGCTCATTAGATGACATACCATTTTCAGCTTGGGTGAAGTAGTGAGATTCAGAGAGGGGACAAATGCTCCAGTATCTTCCTTCATACCTTTAAATGCATGACAGAAAGGCTCTGATGCCTTCCCATGCAGCATACATGGAATATACCAATCATGTGGTATAAGTGAGAAAGGTAAGAGCAAGGAGCTTTGGGGTTTCTCCATGAATTGAAAATGTTCCATTGCCTTCATTTACAAAGAGACTGGGCTTCCTGTAATTTCTCCCTGACTCCAACAGACACTTTAGCTCTACATTAGTGTAACTTCCACTCTGGCCATTCCAGTTCTACTTATTCATGGAGCTGTGATTGCTTTATTAGATATTTTGAAAGTAAGTTTTAAAAGTGAGCTCATGAAGCCTTCAGTTAAGCAAACTATAATACACATTTGCTATTGAGTTTGTTAGGGTGTGCTTTTGGTGATTTATTTTGCATTTTAACATTTCATACTAGAAATTTGTTAACAATATACAAATATATTTTCCATAGTTTATTTTGGAAGTTTGCAAATGGCCAGCTTTGAAATTGAAGTTCCTTTTCCTCTTTTCATATGACTTTGAAGTCATCCTTTCTGATAAAAGGGCCCTCCAGTGTAGTCTGCAATAAATTAGTCCCCCTTCTAATTATGCTCCAATTCCTAACCACGACAAATCATCTAGCCTTCATCCTTTAAAAATATTAGGTATTTTTAAATTATGGAAGTAATATATTGCCCATCATAAAACATTTAAAAATATTAAGGAGTAATAAATATTAAGGAGTAATAAATATGTTATTTTTAACATTTCTGGCTAACACCTCTTTTCTCATAGGCAAAAATTTGACTATTGAATGGAAATGTTTTTAAGTGAAGGGATTGACAGGATAGGGTCTGCTGAATTTAAACGATAGCAATCAAAAGTAAAACTGGGATCCCAAAATGCCATTTTGTTGGGATAGAGTAAGAGCTTTTTCAGAAATACCACTTTAAGTTTGGTAGAAGACAGTCACCAGTTGCCTGAATGAAATGAGAAAAGACTGCTTCCAAGATGGAACGTATATAATATAGTGAGATACAGAGTTCAAAGCAAGTGTGTGAGTATATGTATATTCCATATTATCAGTATGTGTTTATATATGAATATGTGTGTGTATACACACCACTGACATGCCCTTTATATACCGCTGTGTTTGCTTTTCCCCATTGAGGACTCTGTGACATTATTATTCCTTTTTCCTCTCAGATATCACGGTGGATAAAACAGTCTCAAAGGTTTCAATTTTCCATGAAAATCACCGTGTACATTTGTAGTTATATACACACACATACATGGCAGATACATATACACACACAGTCTTGTCTTTAGTGCTAATGCAAGTTGGATCATGAAAAAAATGTAGGTAAAGTATCGTGTTTCTGTCTGTGCTTGGAACGTATTGTAAAATGTTATGTACCTGGAATATATTTTGTGGCTTGTCTAATATTTATAAAATCAACTCTTGGAAAAATTCAAAATGAATTGATTTCACTGAAATACTAGAGATGTGGGGGCCATGGTACCTATGATTGGAGCCTTATCTTTGTACAGCAAAATTTGCATTTCTGTGTCAACGTTCAGATTGTTTGATATGTTACTATGGTGGCAGGAATCCCTAATAAAGTACTCTGGGGAAAATGTTTCTGCACTCATTTAGTTCTATTCACACAAAGCTGTATAAATAGCCTGTTGGAAACTACAGAAAGGTGCCATCTAGGACCAAAAAATGAGGTCACCCTTGAATGGTGATAGTATGAAAAAAATAACCACAGGTATGGATGGGAGTAGTCTTTTGCAGCAGCCACCCTGGCTAAAAGTAGGAATATTGGGGGTACTAGAAATGCACCCAAATATAAGAGACAGCTACGGCACTAAGATAACTAGAGAAACAGAAAAAATAGGAGTGTTCTGCATGACAGACAGCAGGAAGGATGTGAGTGCTAGAAATTAGTATGTCATCACTTCTGGCCAGAAAAGGGTGCCTTCCTATGCTAGAAAGAGCTACGCAGACTCAACTCTGCAACACTTGCCATTAAACGTCTGTCTGTTCATGGGCCATGGGAGAATCTTACTATTCGACCCCTACTTTCCTTCCTCTCCATGCAGCATGGCCCTCTGCTTTGGTCTGTCACAAAACTAACAACTGTACACCTGACAATGAAATCAGAGGGTGCTATTCTGAATGAAGCAAAGGGACTATCTGTGCTAGAGGAACACCATGTGTCCAGTGGAACTGTACCTCAGCTGTGGTGGCTTCTTAAGTCTGTCAAGTTCCCCCACCCCAGTTTTATAGAGATATAATTGACCTACGACACTGTATTAGTTTTAGGTATACAACAGAATGATCTGATCTATGCATGTGTTGCAAAATTACTACGTTTAGTAAAATCCATGAGGTCACAGTTACAATTTTTTTCTTGTGATGAGAACTTTTAAGATCTACTCTCTCAGCAACTTTCAAATATGCAATACGGTATTATCAACTGTACTCACCATCCTGTATATTACATCCCCAGAACTTGTTTATCTTATACTTGGAAATTTGCACCTTTTGACCCCCTTCATCCAGTTCACCCACTGGAGGTGTGGGGTGCGGCAGTATGTCAAGTTCTTACTCAGCAGTCCTGAGAGGTGCAGGCTCTAGAGCACAGAAAAGAAAAGGAATTCCGCGGTTAGTGTTCAGGCATGGGGTGACACGGACCTACAGTCCCGGCTCTAGCCAGTACTTTTTTGGTTAGTATCTGCAGACTGGAAGGCTCACACAAAATGACCCTTGGCCACTTATTCATTGAGCAGTCCAGGCTCCCAGCCCAACCTTGCCTCTTGGCAGAGACCTTTTTCCGTGTTCCTTTCATTATTTGCTCAGCCAAACAGGGGAAAAGATCTAACCACACTCCAGCTCAGAAGGAAAGTATTGGGGAGAAGCTTCCACCTCTGGGGTGACCCCAGGGTGGTTGTGGTTGATGAATTTTAGATTCTTTGGGCCATCTTTCTCTTCTGGGTGGAGATAATGTGCTAAAAGTCCCTGCTTACTTGTCCTCCTGCTTCTTTCTCTTCTCTCTTTCCCTTGGACCTGCTTGTGGGCTTCCAGTCTCCATGCAGTGAAGACCCAGCAGGAGCTGCCTGCGGTGGGCCCAGCCAGGACTCTGCTCTCCGCAGTCCAGCCTCATGTCTGTGATGGGGTGGGTAAGTCTGGCGAGCCCTGCCCAGTGGGCTCAGCTGTCGTCACTTCAGAGATGACGGAAGAAGCCTTACTTGGGCCTCAGATCCCAGCTGTATCCTCCGACCCATTAATAAACAGATTTTAACCCTCTTTTGGCTATTGTGTCTGTTGATTATTGGGAACTGGGTGTGGGGAGGGCAAGATTCCCACTAAGCACACTCAAGAATGTTTAGGATCTCTGCAACCTCCAGCGTTGCAAGGAAGGCGCAGAGAAGGCTGCTGGCCCTCAGGCCTCAGGGGATGCCCACCGATGACCTGGGCCCTGACAGGCCTTGCGAATGAGTGCGGGAACATGGGACTTGGTATCAGTAAGACCCCGGGACTGAGTAGAAGCACACATCCCCACTCCTTACCTGTAGCTGATGCTTTCCTCAGTATCACTTTGGAAAGAGAACCAAGGCCACTCTCCTGGTTGTAAAGGAAAACTCTCAGTAGGACGAAGGAAAGCTTTGCGTGGGTACCAAGTATTGAAACAAGTCGTGTGAATTACAGCAGCTCCTCCAACTAACACTGGTCACTTGAGGCTCCTCATCTACAAGAATTATGATTTTGATAATTGTAAGGATTTTGAGTTTCCCAAGGAAAGTACCCTTCACAGAAGAGAACACACTAACAAACCGACATTAGTTCCCACTGCGCTTGGCAGTTACGTTCTTTGTAAGTTAAGAACTCGGTGTTCTGGTTAAAGCATCGGTCTCCTGTAACTCCTGGGAGTGAATCAGCTTCCTTCCACCCTGAATCAGCCTGAATGTCCTGACAACTCTGAGCTGCTGGTTTTGCACAGTTGCAAACAATGGTGGGCACACAAAAGTACAGCTCCCTGGTCACAGGGTTACTATATAATTTATTGTACAAACCCGGACTCTTTTGAGACTGAAAGGAGGTGTTTTTAATGATTATGCCATAGCAACAGGTGTCAACTAAGACTGTTCCAGGTACTCTGCCATAAGGCTTTGCCTGATCAGCTAGATGCCCTCTTTCAAAAATTTCTTCTGCTTGGTCCTCTAAAATATTAACAAGGTAAAAGAGGGAAGGATTATTGCCGTAGAGTCACAGCTCTCCTACTTGCCATGAAGAGCCAGATTAAAGTTCACCAAAATTAATTGTATCATGTGTTTTAAATAAGCCCGCTGGCACTGAATATTTAACGCTACTCAATTTGTTTGCTACTTATAATGTTGAATTTCTTGTTTAACACGAGGCAGGTAGAGGGTTAGAATGATCTCAATGTTGCTTTCACCTCCATAGTCCTGAATTTGACATTCTGAGCTACACACACAGAACACTGATGATCAGCTTAACTGTGAAAAACCGATTCACATTGACACTCAAGACAGTGCTGTGCAATAGCCAAGTTGATCATTTATCATGAGAGGTGTCAGTCAGCTTGGCATTTGTTTGATACTGGATGCTCCACTCCATGCTCTTCCCAGAACATAAACTGTAATGTGAACCCAACACTATCCTATCAATGAGTACAAGGAATCACAGCTGGAAAGCTGCCTCTCAGGGCAGTCTGCCCCAATAGACGAGTCTCAGAAGGGCTGGAGATGCATTATACACATTTTACTCTAAATCTCCATTTTTGAAAATTTCTTGTGGTAGAGGCTGGAAGGGGATCTTATTTCCTCTTCACCCTGGCGACAGAATTTGACTGCATTTTCCAGCTCTCATGTACTTAGGTATTCCTGAATTGTGGCCATTGGAATTGAATGGGAAGTAATCTGTATCACCTCTAAACCTTGGACTAGCTGTGCACCTCCATTTGCCACTAGATGTTAACACCTGTAGTGACCTTGAAGCCACCAGTTGAGGATGTTGGAACTACCAGCAACTTAGATCCTTGAATGACTGTGTGGAGCAGAGCACCCCCTACCTTACCCTAAACCAGACCCATCTTGGACTGTTACTTGAGTAACAAAGTCTTAAACCACTGCAACAATGCAAAACAAATATCCACAGGCTTGGAAATATAAATTAAATTTAAAGATCCTTGCATTGCACAGAAAAAAACCACTATTTTCATATAAAAATTTGCATGGACCAATTATTAACAAATAGACAATTATAAAATTATTTTTCCTTGTGATTGAAGATACAGTACAGTCATCCCTCAGCATCAATGGGGGACTGGTTCCAGGACCCCCCACAGATACCAAAATTTGTGGATGCTCAAGTTCCTTATATAAAATGCTATAGGGTTTGCATGTAGCCTATGCACATCTTTCTGTATATTTTAATCTCTAGATTACTTATAATACCCAATACAATGTAAATGCTATTAAACAGTTGTTATACTCCATTGTTTATGGAATAATAACAAGGAAAAAAATCTGTGCATGTTCAGTACAGGTACAACTATCATAGGCCTAACTACATAGTACACATCAACATTTTTTTTAGAATGTTTTTGATCCATGATTTGTTAAATCTGCAGATGCAAAACACATGGATATGGAGGGCTGACTGTATTAGAATTCATAAACAGGTATTCTAAATTACAGACAAATCATGAAACCTCTTTTAACTTCGTGTGCAACCTCTGCAAGTTACAGGAAATGTCAGAGGAAACATTAAAATGCCATTATATATATTTATTAACATTCAAACCTATGTTCAGACTTACAAAAAACTGATTTGCAAAAAGAGTTCAATCTTTTTAGAAAAATTGTTCCATGAGAACCACAAGCTCTAGATTTACTAAAATTTATAAATCAAAATAATTTTCCAGAAATTTATCCTAATGTTGTTAGAGCCTATAAAACTCTTAGCAGCAGCAGTAAGAGTTACATCAGCAGAAAGATCCGTCTCAAAATTAAAAATTATCAAAAATTATTTGTGGCCTGGCCAGTGTGGCTCAGGGGTTGAGCATCAACCTACGATCCAGGAGATCACGGCTCGATACCCGGTCAGGGCACATGCCTGGGTTTCAGACTTGACCCCCAGTAGGGGGCATTCAGGAGGCAGCTGATCAACGATTCTCAGTCATCATTGATGTTTCTCTCTCTCCCCCTCTCTTCAATCAATAAAGACATATTTTAAAAAAATTATTTGTGATCTTGCATTTGTCAAGAGCAAAATGATGTTACTTTTAATTATATCAATTGAAAGCGAAACTGCTAGAATAAAAAGTTTTGATGGCCCAGTAAGTGAATCTGAAGAAAAGTGAACCCTAAAAAATCTTTTGATCAATCAAGATATTTATATACTGATGTAATAAAGTATCATTATTTATTTTAATATACAAAATTATGAAACCAAAATATTGTGGTTTTTTTGGCAATATGTAACATGAATGTTGTGGCTCCTATATAACTATTACCCCTTTATGTTTTATAAGTAATCAAATATTTTTAAAGGAAGACCTTTTGTATTTTATTACCTTTGACTGCACTTTCCCCTGTATTTTGAACAAGGAGCTCCACATTTTCATTTTGCAGGAGGCACTGCAAATTATGTCACTGACTGACTAGATTGAAAGAATGGAAGGTGGAAGTATTGGAAGTGAATACTCTGATGCTCAGAGCTGAAGGTTTAAGTGTGAAAACCAAAAGCACATGGCTACTTCTTCTTTCTCTGACAAATTTAAAACCATCTAAATGATGAAGAGTGTACCTTAAATAGAAGTCTAATTTTATTAAGAAGTGAGGGAGCTATCTTTTTTAAAATATATTTTTATTGATTTCAGAGAGAGGAAAAGAGAGAGAGAGAGAGAGAGAGAGAGAGAGAGAGAGAGATGGAAACATTAATGATGAGAGTCATTGCTCGGCTGCCTCCTGCACGCCCCCCACTGGGGATTGAGCCCACAACCTGGGCACGTACCCTGACTGGGAATTGAACCGGGATCTCCTGGATCATAGGTTAATGCTCAAGTGCTGAGCCACAATGGCCAGGCAGAAACTTGATTTTAAAAAAAAGTTATCTTCCACATCTCTACTTAACCCAATGAAGATATGGTACACATTTAATGTCCTTGGACTGTTAATTAGAACATCTTTGCCAGTTCTGGGTTTGTTTTGAGTTTCTCCTTGATATGTGTCACATTTTTTTCTTCGTATACATAATAATGCTTTAAGTGGTAATTTTTATTGGATGTCAGACATTGTAAATTTTACTTTGTTGGAAACTGGATACTGCTGTATTCCTATAAATAATTTTGCTTTGTTCTGAGATGAATCTAGACTTCTTAGAAATAGTTTGAACCTTCTGGGTCTTGTTTTTAAGATTTATTAGGAGTGGGGCAGAATTTGTTATAGAGCTAAGAACTCCCCACTCCTGAGGCAAGAATCATCTGTGTATTCTACCAAAAGCCCCATGAATGATGAGGTTTTCAGTCTTGCTGATGGTAACAGGCACTATTCCTTGCCCTGTGTGAGTGCCAGGCACTACTTCTAATTTCTTTGGGTGGTTCTTCTCTAGTTAAGAGTAGCTTCCTCATGTACAGTGGTACCTCAGTTTTCGAATGTAATCCATTCTGGAAGTCCTGAGTTCTGAAAGGTTCGAAAACCGAGGGATCCACAGCCGACAGCTGGGCCTCAGGATCTTGCCCTCAGCAGAAACCCTGTGGCATGTTCTACTTCTGAGGCTTGTTTGAAAACCAAAGCATTTACTTCTGCCTTACGGAGTTCGTAACCCAAAATGTTCGTCAACGGAGATGTTCGAAAACCGAGGTACCACTGTACTTGGGTTGATCATTACTCTAGAGAATACTTGAGGGAGACCCTCAGCAGATCTCCTGATTTCTCTCTCTGCTACTCTCTCCTTTCTGGTATTGTTTTGTGTTATAAACAGAAAAAGTGACAGTCATGAACTAATCAAATATCATGGCCAAGCGTGTGTAGGCAGGAAGTGATAGGGTCGGTTTTGGGAGCCACATCTTCCTTGGTGTATGGCAGAACCCAGGCCCAGAACCGGGGCAGCCAGCAAGGGCTGGGGATAAAAAATGGTTTCATTTTCATGGTCAGCTGAATAATTAGTGGTAAAAAGTGGGAGGAGAGAGAGGACAGTCAGTTCTCAAATAGTGAGCAGGAGAAAGCCCCCCATGTTGGCTTTGATGGTGGGCAGGAGGTAAGCCTTCTTCCAAAGTTGTAAGGTCAGGAAAAATTGGAAAATTCATTTTGCTAGAAGCTTAGTTGCAAATAAAGAAAAACCTTAGTCAAGCAAAGAGGCCAAGATAAAAGGAAGCCCTTTCTATATACTGCTTATATAGAAAGGAATGTCTGAGAGGAAGATAGAGCACATGGCCTTCCTCTTGTCCTTGGAGCAGACCATGGCGCTATTTAGGGAATGCCCCCCCTGGAAGAACACAGACTCTTTTCTTCAAGTGAGAATTAGCATGTCTGCAAAAGGAGTTAGCCAAGGTTAGAGATCTACTTTTGAGGGTGGAGCAGGGGCAGCCCATGAGGTCTTCAGTGAAGAGAATAGTTTATATCCAACTTAAATTTAATCTGGGCTCACAGGCCAAACTTTTGGAAATGTAATCCACTGGCAGGACCTGTGGCCTGGAGGCCTGAGATTTGATAACTTGTTTAGGGAATCCAAAAATGAACGCATTTGAAAAGACGACTGATATTTAATGTTGTTGGGCCAAAGCAATGGAACATGCCAAGGGAACTCTGAGATGGCGAAAAACTGGTAAGGGAGAGGACTACAAGCCTGTGTATACCAGAATCGGATACTTGGAACCAACTAGGATCCTGGCAGAAAGGGTAGAAGGGAGAGAAGTCATGCAGCCAGGGAGAGTAGGATGTCCCCTAAATGAGCACCCAGTGCCTCCATAAGGAAGGTTAGGAATAGGCAGATGATGGAGGCAGAAAGCCTAGGATAAAGGGTGTAGAATAAGAAGTAAAGGCCTGCATTGAGTCGTTCTGTCTCAATGGATAAAGGCAGGTGGGTGTATTTTTATTGTGAGAAACTAAAGCAGAACACCTGAGAGACCCTCTGCTCAGTCCCCCTGCCCCACACAGAAGGATTTAGAATTATTCCAATTCTGAAAAAATTAAAATACAAAGCTATCAAACACTGGATATTCTTGCTTAGTAGGGTTATGGGTAGTTTCTATTTTGTTCTTTGTAACTTTCTTTTTTCAAGTTTACTGCCATGGGTTTGGACTCTTTCGATAATCAATTATTTTAAATGGAAAGAAAATCTCTTTATACCCAATGAAATGAAATACAAATGAAGTGAATTTTAGAGAAGTGAAATAAATGCTTGGCCTTTTCTTTATATAAAGATAGAAAACAGAGAAGCAAAGAGAATTCTGCTTCAGGAAGATTTAGCACAGCCCAGAGAAATTATCCCAAGGCAGATGAAGTTCCAGGGCTAGTTGGATCCTCCTCAAAGTATATAAAAGGAGTAATACTTGAAAGTGGCATTGGCTACACTTTCTATGATCTTTTACATCACTTCTCCAACTCATGGGAACCAAGTCATATAATCAAGATACATAAGCTAAATTTGACTTGATAGTGTTTAAACCCCTAAATTCCCTCCTCTGGTGTATCCCTTCTCTATAGTCTCTTTTACTCAAGGCCACTTCCTCAAGGCCACATGTCTCAGCATTTCTTTCCCACATGCCCACTTGTTTTTTATTTGTCCTTAACATTATCTAATATACAGCATGCTTTTCTTATTTATTTATTGTTTCCTTCTGCTAGAATTAAAGCTCCATGATAGTGACAATATTTTTGTCTGCTTGTTCACTGCTATACAATTTGCACTCTACTAGGCACACAGTAGGTGCTTATTAAGTATCTGTTGGTTACTACAGAATGAATGCCTGTGACGGCAAATGAATTTAAAGGACCCGTTCTGAGAACAAAAGCATTTCCAGGTTCAAACAACTGACAAATGACTTTAGGAATAAACTCATTTTGAAGGGTGGATACTGCCTGTTATCAAAGAGTTATTCAAGTCTAAGAGCTGTCAGGTATTTTCTGACACCCGCTAGCTACACCTGCTCAGTAATCACTGTAACTATACATGAAAGCAGCAGGCCCCAGGCCCTTTTCTTTCAGCAGCAGAGTGTGTGAGCCTTTCCCAGCTTCTAATTTTTGATCCTCACTTTCAGTGGGACTTCTTATTCAGTTTCACACAGTGACGCTGCCAGGTGACTCTCTCTCAGACATGTGTGCTTTGAGTGTGGCTAACATTGGGCCAAATCTGCAGACTAAAAGGCATTCTGGCCATGCCTACTGATGGGAGGAGGAGCCCTCCAGGAGGAACTCCACCAGCTGACCTCACAGCCTCCTGAACTCCAGGAAGCATCTTTGTTGTGCTTCAGTGGGCCTTTCCCTGAGCTCTGCAGGATATACAGGTAGCAAGCATTTAAGAGCAAGCTTAATGTGCAGACTTTCTTGTTAGGGTTTATCTTAATTCATTCGCTCTGGGGATTCAGCCTTTCTTTGACTGTGAACCTAAAACACGAGAGAGAGAGAAGTTTCTTGGGCTTCTAAAAAGTCATAATGTTTTCTGGAAATTGAGTCTTAGCATGAAGAAATCCCTCTGTACTTTGCCATCTCGATTCTCTATTTTGCAGACAAAATAGCTATTTCTCTGTGTCTGTGTAGAGCATGGCAAACATTTAAAGGACCATCTGTGTCACCTTCAAAATCGCTCTCCCCTCTGGTGTCTTGAAATATCCTCCTCATTCACAGAACATTTTCTCCCAGCCGATCCTATCTATGCTAATGATTTTAACTAGTACCTGTTATCCAAATTAGTATAATCCAGAATCCAGCCCCAATCTGACACGTGTTTTTGGTGCACCTAAATACCCCACTGCTTCTTCAGGTTCAATCTATTCAAAGCTAACTCAGTATCTTCCCATCAAAACAAAACGGAAAAACAATTAAAATTTAAAAGTTTTTTAATAATAAATAAAAAACCCTGGTTCTTCTTCTGTTGCAAAGCATGACTAATGGCATTTCTTTCTCCCACTCAACAAAACCAGGAAATTCAGAGTAAAACGTGACTCTCTGGTCTAACTCTATGCAAATTCTGGCAGTTACTAAGTCACTGCTTTGACGCTATTCTAATAAATTTCCTAACTTTCCTTGATCATATATCTTTGGAAGAAGGCTTACCTCTTGCCCACCATCAAAAGCCAACATTGGGGGTTTTCTTCTGCTCATTATTTGAAAGCTGATTATTGTCTCTCACCTCCCACTTTTCACTACTAATTACTCAGGGGACCATGAAAATGAAACCAGCTGTTCTCCCCACCCCCTGCTGGCTGTCCTGGTGCTGGGCCTGGGTTCTGCCCTGTACTAAGGAAGATCTGGCTCCAAATACCAGCCCTATCACTTTCTGCCTACACAAGCCCCGACATGGTATTTGAGTAATTAGTGTTAGTTGCTTTTTCTCTAAAATGGGGATAAACCAATATCTCAGAGAGTAGTTTTGACGATTAAATACAGCCATAACTCAAGATATCGCCGTTTCAGTTCCAGATCATCGCAATAACTCAAGTCATAATCTTTTGGCTGGTGGAGGGTCTTGCCTTCAATTAGCAAAAAAATGCAACATCTGTGAAGTGCAATAAACTGAAGTGCAATAAAAGGAGGTCTGCCTGTTAACTAAAGAATGTCATGCACCTGACACATTACTGTTGACGTGTCCTTCTGGCAATTTAATTCTTTACCCTGTGTTTCAAATGATTGCTCCCAACCTTCTAAAGAAGCAGCCCAAATCTATTTTGCCGTTACCACACTGAGAAACCAAATGTGTGCAACAGCTCTGTACCAGGCTACCTTACACAGCCTTTGTGGGAGGTCATTGTCACTGTAGTTTAGTGTTTCCCAAGGCATGTCCTGCAGAATAGTTGCTCTGCAGGTCACTCTTAGAAAAAAGGTGCCATGGGAAGTAAGTGTGAGAAATGCTACATGTAGTTGCTTTATCTGGAGGAATCACAACGACATGCTAACTCAGGAAAGCTTCTGAAAAAAGCCCCAACATAAAGAAATACATTTAATCAAATGTTCTACACACTTATTTGACTATGGGCTCCTTGTGTAAAACAACGCTCATCCCAAGGGATATGTTGCGGTCTGCTCACTTGGCCTTAATCATCCTAGTCCCTTCGCCCCAATTTAACAATAACTCACGATTCAGAAGTTTGAATTGGAGGAAGTACATCCTAGGCTAATACAGAACAAGCTGTGTTTATTTATTACATGCCATGCAATAATGACACAGAAGTCAGGCCTCTAAACATGTTATCACACAGAAGCACGGTAAATGTACAGGATACTAGAGAGACCCATAGATTTCCCCCCTCTAATGAGCTGAGCCTCCCCCAGACCTCTAAGGGAGGCCGTGCAAATATTACAGGTCCTGGTTCTGCTGTCAGGGAGGACTACACTCTGGGGATTCCCATCCGTGCAGAAGCGAGTCCCTCCCCCATCTCACCCCCATGCTGCTTCCTGAAAGCGAGCAGAGGCGGCTGGGGCTTTTCCAGGGTCCAGGCCTAGCTTTCCAGTCCAGCCAGGACCGGGGCTGTCTGAATCGATCCTGAGGTCTCATCCAACTGCCCAATAAAGGATAAGGCTCAGAGGGCTGAGAGATCTGCTGTCTAGCGCACGTGCGTTATTCTCAACAAGAAGCCTACTGCTTCACAAGCCTGGATTCTTTGTTCTCAGCCTTAAGTATAAACCAAGAGCTGGAGCTAAGAGCTCCTCGGGTTTAGAGCCCTAGGCTCCGCTGCTGCCCCATTCCTCCGAAGGAGTCATCCCTCAGCATCCAAGCTCCGCTTTCAAAACGAGTTTGTATTAACGAGGCTGCAGCCAGAATCAACTGGAGTCAACACCGCGGACCACGGCTCCGCGCAAGGAACGGGCACGAAGGACGACGCTGCCCCCTAGTGGGAAACGCGCGAAGAGCAGTTTACTAACCCTCAGCTCGAGGGCTGAGTGGGCTCCGCACTTCAACCCGGGACCCACCGCGTCCCCTCCCGCCTTCGAGAGCCGCAGGGAGGGACACAGGGTGGAGCT